GCAACCAAAAAAATAGCCAGGCGTTGTGGCGGGCGCCTGTAGTCCCAGCTACTTGGGAGGCTGAGGCAGGAGACTCGCTTGAGCCCAGGAGTTGGAGGTTGCTGTGAGCTGTAATGCCACGGCACTCTACCCAGGGGGACAGCTTGAGGCTCTGTCTCAAAAAAAAAAAAAACTGAGGCAGGAGGATCACTTGAGCCCAAGAATTTGAGGTTGCTATGAGCTATGACACCATGGCACTCTACTCAGGGTAACAAAGTGAGACTCTGTCTCCATTAAAAAAAAAAGTATAAAGTATAAATAAAATAATATAAAATCAGAGATTTTAAAAATAACAATTAAAAATGTATAAAAAGTATAAAATCAAAGAACTAAAAAATAACAATAAGTCTAAAGTCCATAATGAGTGGAGGACTGAGGCACGAAGACAACAAAAAAGGCTTGTTTAGAACAAAAAGAGATAAACAAAGGGCCCACTGCTTAGGGAAGATGTTGTAGTATCAAGAGATGACAGGGACAATGTAGACTCTTCATCAAGGAACATGATCTTGAAGGTGAGAAGGTTAGAACTCTGATGAAAAGGGAGCTAACCTAGTACTCCGGGAGGCTGAGGTGGGTGGATTGCCTGAGTTCAGGAGTTCACACCAGGTGAGCAAGAGCTAGATCCTGTCTCTAAATATAGTTGGATATTGTAGTGAGCAACTGGAGTCAGAGCTACTAGGGAGGCTGAGGCAAGAGAATCACTTGAGCCCAGGAGTTTGAGGTTGCTATGAGCTGTGATGCCACAGCACTCTACCAAGGGTGACAAAGTAAAACTCTTGTCTAAAAAAATAGGAGGGATATCTAACATCTAAGTTAAGTGGCATGAATAGTAGACAGTAAGGGAATACAGAGCCAACTGGCTCTGCACAATTCCATTACTAGGCATCTACCCAGAAGAAAAATTATTTAATCATATGGACATTTGCACTAGATTGTTTAATTGGAGCTCAATTTATAATTGCCAAGATTTGGAAACAACCCAAGTGCCCATCAACCTATGAATGGGTAAACTGTGGTATATGTATACCATGGAATACCATTCAACCATAAAAAAGAAGGGGACTTTACATTTTTTGTATTAACCTGGATAGAGCTAGTGAACATTCTCTTTAGTAAAGTACCACAAGTATAGAAAAGCAAGTATCTAATGTACTCAATACTAATAGGAAACCAGTAGACAAATTAATACACACCCACACAAGAGAAAAAGTCAGTTTAATTAAAGTTAGGGAGAGGAGGGAGGACAGTGGGATCGCTGTGTTCCTAATTAAAGGGCACAATGTAAAGGTATAGGGTATACCCCCTGCGTGCGGGACACAACTACAACAGGGACCTTACCTAACAAATCCTAATATAACCCTTATTATTAATCTGAAATTTATATTTTATTTATTTTTTTATTTTTTTTGGACCGGGGCTGGGTTTGAAGCCACCACCTCCAGTATATGGGGCCAGCGCCCTACTCCTTTGAGCCATAGGCACTGCCCTTAATCTGAAATTTAAAAAAAAGAATTTGCCTCTGATCCAAAAAAATCACACTCCTCGATACTAAAAAAAAACTTTTAGATCTGACTTTAAAACTACTGCTAATTATCTAAGCTATCTTGACAAGGTGCCAGAGAATCAGAAATGAAAAGAACACATCCTTACTTATAAAAACGGAGCTGGGGGGGGGGTGGTGCAGAAAAACATCTGTAAGTAAACTGGCTACATAATGCTGAAAAATTCCAGAATGAGTAAAGAAGTTTTTGACTATAGTAAAAAGGAAAAAAGAGCTCTTTATTAAGGCAGAGTCTACAACGTTTGCTCTTTAATAAAATTACTAAAAGGGAAAAAGTGAAGATGGTGCAGACATATACACAGCTGATTCTAACAAGACAATTTGACAGATTCTCTTAATGATAGGCTGGTGAACAAAATGGGAAAATGGTGAACAGCAGAAGCTTGAAAATCTGTTAAATTCAACTAAGAGGATGCATAGTGGGTTGAACATCTGGCTGACTAATGTATCAACATCAACCAACTTGGTAGGAAGCCTCCACTAAAATATCCCAGAGTTTCACCCTTCCTCACAATACAGATAACGTCTATTAATTTAATAAAACCATTGACCTGGTCTTCACATTTGCAAGGGCCAAAAAGCTGTGAGTGACCCAACATGCAAAACCTGACAGAGTCAGTTCCAGAAAGGCCACGGAGGCTAAAATGATCTAAGCCATGGGAGGCTGAAATGATCTGAAACCAAAAAGGAAAATCAACAGGAAGTCATGGCCACCATTTATATATTTACACAAGTATGTATATATATATATATATATATATTTTTTTTTTTTTCCTTTGGGCGGGGGACAGAGTTTCACTGCGTCGCCCTTGGTAGAGTGCCATGGCATCACAGCCCATAGCAACTTCAAACTCTTGGGCTTAAGAGATTATCTTTGCCTCAGCCTTCCAAGTAGCTGGGACTACAGGTGCCAGCCACAATCCTCAGCTATATTTTAGAGATGAGATCTTGCTCTTGCTCAGGCTGGTTTCAAACTCATGCACTCAGGCAATGCATCCACCTTGGCCTCCCAAATGCTGGGATTACAGGCAGCATTTATATTTTAAAACCCAAAATATGACAAAATAAACTCACTTTGTATGGGAAATAACTGAATCATAAAAGTTACTAAAAAGCCTATGCACAATCTGAAACTGAATTAATAGATGTGTTATGTCCAGACTGGATTGCTGTGGTTCTCAGCAATAAAAAAATTTTCCCATCTCAATCATTCTCAGGTCTTCATCCTAGAAAGAGTTATAACGAGAATCCACAAATACCATTGAGTTAAAACTCTAGCTTTAGACTCAAGAGTTATTCAAGTATATCTTAGCACCAAAATACAATTTACCTGATCAGCCTAATTTATCGAAATTTATATCAATGAATAAATATTCCTTAAAAGAAGATTCATATATTACTAGGGTGTTATGGTAGGCTACAATCCCAGCCACTTGGTAGGCTGAAGCAAGAGAATCATGTGAGCCCAAGAGTTTGAGGGTGCTGTGAGGTATGATGCTATGGCACTCTACCAGGGGTGACAAGTGAGATTGTCTAAAAAAAAAAAGAACAAAACAAAGAAAGAAAGCAAGCATACACAAAAACATGCATCAACACACAGTCTTTTGCTAAGGACAAATTAGCTTAGCAAAAACAAATAACCATAGCACATTAGCCTGTAAAATATTTTGACATGGTGTGATCACTTACAAGTTTAATAACCAATATGTTGCCAAAGGGACTCTAATAAACAAATGGTTTTTATTCTTAAAGTGCAAATACTTATTAAAGCATTATCCCATATCCCAATTAACATTAGAAAAACAAAAGTTATTACATGGATGGAAAAGCTTTTAAAGAACAGGCCATTGTTTAACCTCTCTCCTCTTGTAAAACATACTATATGAAAATTATTAAAAGATTTTAGGCCTTCAGTCCTAAATACAGCCCAGAGATTTTCTTCATTTAGGGTAGAATAATCATCTGTGTCAGATCTTCTTGCTCCTTCCTCACTCCCCCATTAACAATGCCCCTTCAAGAGCCCAAAGGTACAAAGGTGGACCACCAGGCAGGCCAGCAGAACCTCAGTGGCCTGATGTCCATCCTTCCTCCCCTACTCCCCACTTGGTTGAAAGGTAAGTGGAGGATGGAAAATTGATTTTAAAAAAAAAAGTTAGCAAGGATGTAGCTTATGATCATTAGTATCTGCTAGGCTGTCTCTAGGAGGACCCACCTCCCATCCAAATGAGACTGGGATTCTGCTCCCTGCCCTAGAGCCTGAATCCTTGAGCTCCTCTGGGACCCCTTTAGAAAGGAATAAGGAACTTTACTGCCCAGGACCCTCCTCCCCCATGTCATCCATTAAAGGCCCAGCAAGCTCTTTGTTTCCAACAGCTGGGGGTGGGGGGGGCTTTGGAGAGAGGGGAGAGGTCACTCTCTTGCTCCCTTTGCTGCCAATCTCCAGGCCCTCCAGCAAAACATACACACACACACACACACACACACACCATTCCCTCAAAACCAGTTCTCTTTGCACACCAGTTTAATAACCGTGGGTTACACCTTACTACACAAGGGCACTCCCTGAGACCTAATTACCTCCTTCTGTACCCAAACCCTACACAGGGTGACTCCTGAATCAGACCTCCTCCCTCTAAATCAACACAAACGGGGTTCACTCCAGGACCCCCATCCCTCCTCCTCCATGAGGAAGCCCCAGGCTTCACCCACACACAACACACAAAAACACAGGGTCACTTCTGGGCCCTGGGACCTTGCCCGTCCATGTCCACAGACCTGGAGCCACTCCAAGCCCCGAGATCCCACCTTTGAACCCAAAGGAGACACACACACAAACACACAGTCACTCCACGTCGCCAAGGGGCGTCCTCAGGGCAAGCAGTTCCCTTTAACCACACTACCCTTCCGAGACCCCAGTTAAGGAAGAACCTAACCCAGCACATGGTCACTCCCCTGGCCCTCAGCTTCGGCCCCCACCCCACACCACGTCCCCTCACCGTTCACACAACACTCCACACACACACAGAGATCCCAGCCTGGGGCCGCCCGCCCTCCCCTGAGCCTTCACAACACTAACACGCGCTCCCGCTAGCACACCCACGACCACACCGGGAGCCCCGGCCGGCAGCTCAGCATCTCACAACACGCCGGGCCGTCCTCGCACAGCCACTAGACACACACGGACGCACGCACGGCCACTCCCCATCCCCAACGCCGGTCCCCAAGCCCGCACCGCACGCTCGCGCCCTGCCCTCTGCCCTCGCTCACCCTCGCGATCCCCTCCCCAGGACCCCACGCCAGGGTCTTCCCCAGCTCGGCTACCGGGACCCGGAGAGAGGCGGCGGCGGCGGCGGCGGCGGCGGAGGGAGGGGCCCCAGGGGCCGGCTCCGGCCGCTCCTACCTGAGCAGTTGATGCTCTTGCCTTTGCCGCCGGGACAGTCCCCGCCGCCGCCGCCGCCGCCACCTGGGGGCTGGTTGGACGCGCGGCTCCCGGGCAGAGAGAAGGCAAAGAGCAGCAGCACCGACGTGTAGCAGCAGAAGGCAAGCGGGGGCGCGGCAGGCAGCCGGAGCGGCGCCTCAGCGGCCGCGGCGCCCATGACTAGCGCCCCTGGACGGCGGGAAGCGCAGGGAGCCGCAGGCCGGGGGCATCCAGCCGCGCACCGTGAGCCCCGCCGCTACAACAGCCGCGCCGCTAAGCCTGGGAGCAGCCCCTCGGCATCCCCGCCCCACCCGCAGCGCTCGCCAGGCCCGGCCCGCCGCGTTCGGGACGGAGTCGGTGGGTCCGGGCGCGCGCGAGGGTCGCGGGCGCGCGAGGATGCGCGCAAGGGTGCGAGCCGGCGTGGGGGGATCGAGGCTGGGGGAGCGAGCAGGCGCGCGCGCGCGCGGCGGGCGGGGGTCGCGGGGTGGAGGCGGGCCCAGCCCCTAGCTCGCCTCCTCGCCTTCCCTTTGTGTCCGCAGCAGTCGCCACCGCGTCACAAAGACCCCGGCCCGCCCGGTGAGGGGCGCGTGACGGAGCCGCGGGCGGGAGGGGTGGCCGCGACCCCGCCCCGCGCACACCCCCGGCGCCCGCGCCGACAGCTCCGCCCCCGCCCGCGGCCGGCGCCGCCTCCAGGGGAGCTATTGTTCCTGCGTCCGGGTGGCAGCGCGGGGCTGGGGTCGCGGCCGCCCCTCGGTCCGGCCGCTGCGGGCTGCACGGCACCGAGGATGCTCCGTGAGCGTTATCGTTAACAGACATGCTTGCCGCCCTTTGGGGGCGTTTTTGAAGCATTTTTCTTCGCCCAGGACTCGAGCTGGAAGAGAAGGGCAGGTGGTCTGTTATGTATCTATTTTCTAAGTGAAGAAACTGAGCAGCGGAGAGGTAAAGGTGACTTGTCCAAGGTCACATACCAAGCAGTGGACAGGACCAGAATTGAAACCCAAGTTCTGACTCCAGCTGTCCACCTCTCAGAGGCGTTAAGTGAATAGCTAAATTTCTAGTATTCTCACCTTACACCTCATTCCCATATACTCTCCTGCAAGTGAATTTTAAATAGTTTTTGAAAGTCTGTATTGCCCTCTGCGCCTATAAACGCTGAGCTTTAGAGAGCATTTACTATATAGAAGGCTGGAAAAAGCGTTCTATGTGCATTCTCTCCAATTCTTTTGTACAGCCCACAAGGGAGTTTGCATTCTTATCTCTATTCTACAGATGAGTTAGACCCAGAGTGAGAAAGTGATCTGACTCCCAGCCCAGTGCTCTTCCTACCACATCTTCCTGGGTAACAGAACATCATGGACTGAATTGTTGGGAAGTCCTCTGCCTTTTTCATTCTGTTATGCTGTCTCCTGCCCCAGAAGGAATTTTAAAATCTCATTGAAAGACTAATCAATTTGGCTCATAAAATTAAGAAATGTGTGAAAAAACACCACAAAGCCACAATAGGAAAAATGTCTTCGATGTAAATACGAAGTAATATAAGTGAAGCAGAAAAAGTTATTTCAATAGAAATATGGGAAGCTTGACACTTAATCGCAAAAGTGCAGACAATAAATACATGACCCACTAATAATAAAAGGCTGATTAGCCTGAGCACAGTGGCTCACAGCTGTAATCCCAGCACTTTGGGAAACTGAGGCTGGAGCACTGCTTAAAGCCAGAGGTTCATATACCAGACTGGGCAACATAGTGAGACCCCCATCTCTACAAAAAAAAAAAAAA